GACATTTCTTTGTATTTTTACGGAATAGTTTAAACAAAATTCTACTAGTCGATAATCAAAACAATTGTTGAGTTACCGTGACGGACGGGTATTGTGACTGCGAAAGAATTGCTGCTTCTGGCACTGGACAAGACACGCTTCACGACACTGACGCCCAACCTCCAGTAATGGAGAAGCACCAAAAGAAGAGAAGAAGTGATAAACAGGGAATCTTATATATTATAAACGTCACCGTAAAAACAATACTACTACTAAAGCAACGAGTGAAAACTTTTAACAGTTTTTCAAAAATACTATAAAATTTGAAACTATTATTATTTTTGTCTGACTTAATTCCATTCTCTTACCCGTAACCCTAACTTCAATTAAAAAAGTTATTTCATTTATTATTTTCTTATTATAAACAACCCTGCGTATATCATATAATATGTAGGAAGGCCTTTTGTTTCAAATAACAACGGTTTAATTGAAATTTTTTGATTGCTTCATGCTTTCATAATAAAAGTAAACTGTTATAATTCACCTTGTATCGGGGCATGGAATTACTTGTATATTCAATAATATATCTTTTGTGTTAATAAACATATATAGTATGGTATTATGCCCTAATTTTGGTATAGTCTCAGATAAAACAGTAATCTTCAGCACCGTTGAAGCGTTGGCCTTGTAGCTTCAGCATGCGACTCCCTGAGATCGTAGGTTCGATTCCTGTGCATTGTGCATGTCTTGGATTTCTGTCTATGCGCATATAACTCGCTAAAGGAAGGAATACATCGTAAGGAAACCGGCATGCCTTAGATCCAACAAGTCGACGCCATGTGTCAGGCACAGACGGCAGAATGTACGACACTTGCCCATTAGAAAAAACAGATACAGATCCGAAGCCCAGAGGCCCAAAGATTTTTCCAAGAAGGCACCACTGGTTTTTTTATACAACAATAACAATAAAATCTGTTGTTTATCAAGTTACCAGTTAAACACTTGTATGATTAGGGTCTTAAATGATGTCTTACACTTAAGTCACATATTTCGAAATTTCGTATTTTCAATTTTCCGTCGGATTTGTACAAAATTGATTTAGGGTCTGTTTCACAATGTATGGATAAGTTCTACATAAGTTCCAAATTAGCTATTTACTACTTATTGGGAGGATAAACACTACGTAGTTGGTCCCAAAGTTCTGTCACTAGCACATTATTTCTACATTTCGAGCAGGATTTTATAAAAAAATTATTGCATTCTATTTTGGAATGTTTGATTATTGTTTTAAAACAAAAAACAATAACTTTCCGTAATTTTTCACGATGGAGTGGACATTGAAAGTAAACCGAATAGTTGTTATTGCGTTGCACCGCTGTGGACACTCGCCGAGTACCATTTTCAAGTTGCTCAAAAATTTGAATATAACGCTTAGGTTTGTGTACGGTACTATTGATAGGTACCTTGAAGTCTCCAGTGTTGAGGACAAGAAAAGAACTGGCTGGCCACGCTCCGCAAGAACACCAGCAGTAATCAAAGCTATCAAGGCGCGGATAGTAAGAAATCCTGTCCGAAAACAGAAGTTGATGGATTTGCAGATGGGTGTCAGTAGGAAAACAGTAAAAAAGGTTTTAAATGAAGATCTTGGTCTACGAGCATACAAAAAAAGAGTGGGCACTTACTTAATGCTCGTCTAAAAGCAATAAGGCTTAAGAGATCGCGGGTGTTGTTTAAGCGGTACGCGAAAAACCGACACCGTGATATCCTCTTTACGGACGAAAAATTTTTCGATATTGAAGAGAAGTACAATAAACAGAATTATACAGTGTACGCTAGGAGTTCTGAAGAAGCTGAAAATAAAGTTCCAAGGGTGCAACATGGACATCATCCATCATCAGTAATGGTTTGGTTGGGAGTGTCCTATTACGGGCTAACTGAGGTTAATTTTTTTCGAAAAGGGGGTCAAAACCAGTGCTACAGTGTACCAAGAGACGGTTTTGTATCGCCTTGTCAAAGACATGTCCAGCACCCTATTTGCGGGACATCACTTCGTGTTCCAGCAGGACTCTGCGTCTGCATACAAAGCCAAGACCACTAAAGCCTGGTTTGAGCGTCAAAACATCGTCTTAATTAGACATGAGGATTGGCCTTCCTCCAGTCCGGACCTTAATCCTTTGGACCAGAAATTATGACAGGGCTTAGAGAGGAAGGTCTGTGATAAACCTCATGAAAATTTGGAGAATCTGAAGTCATCTTTAAAAAAAACAGTGACTGAAATCGACACGAATATGGTGCGTGCTGCGATAGACGACTGGCCGCGACGCTTAAGGGCCTGTATTAAAAATGAGGGAGGTTATTTCGAATATTTTTATGCTTTTTTTATTCCTTAATTAATGTACTAAGAATTGATATATCACTCATTACAAACTGATCAGTACTTTTGTTTTTATCATTATTTCCATTTATGACAGAACTTTGGGACCGACTACGTATTGTTGTGTTTCACGACTGTCAGATAGCGCTATTCGTCACATAAAGTCCATCAAAAGTTATGAGTCCGATGAAATGACAAGCACAATTTATCTTCCAAATATTGTGTGTGTTGCATAGCTATTTGTTACTTTATCCACACATTGTGAAACAGACCCTTAAATTTTTTTTAAGTATAACTTATTTATTTATATATTATTGAGTAACTAAGAACAGAAGAGTTACATTAATATTGAGTTACTTATATCTATCAAGTATATTTTAATATGTAGTAAAAACAATATTAAATATTAAACAAAAAAAAGTGTGTGTGTCAGCTACGACGCACGATTGGAGTTTACTCCTTACGAACGATAAAATGGCGATAATGTTCTGTGGCTTTCGACCATATTTTCATACTAAAGGTGGTAAGAATATATGTTTTTATAATATAAATGTTTGTAGTAGTAATAAAACGTACCTACATCATCTATGCCCAAATAGGATTTTCTTTCTGTGACCAAAGTTACCTTTATAGTAAGAGAAGAATAAGAATGAACAATCTTTTTAGTTTTAATTTCACTGACCATTACTATTGACAAAACTCTATGGCACGCTAGACAATCTACTTTTATTTTTTACACCTGTCAACACTGACAATGTTGTAACGTGGCTGTCAAAACGTGAATTCAAAATAGAAAAGTCTGTGTAATGTATTCCATCTCATTCTTTTTCACGTTCAATCCATTTGTCTCTTTCTACATAACGCCTCAACCTTTCGTGTTACACATAACGCCTCAACTTTTAGTGTTACACTTGATTTTACTCCTCATAAAATTTCCGTACCGGGCCTTATAAATCAAATCGTTTCTTAAGGAGTAAACTCCAAAAAATATCTTGTTTTACAGTTGTACATTATATATGAACATCGTGGCACGTTACCTCGCTTCGAAGCTCTGTCATATACTTTTAAGCTCCAACAATGATAATGCAAAGTACAGACAGACAGCTTAGCTTTACAAGCAGAATACAAATTTGATCTTCTCTGGAGCTTAGTGCACGTCGGATAAATTCTGATTAAACTAGATGAGATCGCTATTCGAGAAGAAATAAATTAGGCATTAGAAAGATATATATATCTAGTAGATAGTACCGGTGACCCCAGAGCTGGTGCTTTCCTCGCTCAACAAATAAGCATTTTAATACAGCGAGAAAATGCCAGCATTAAAGGTACACTGCCACAGGGATACTTTAAAATTTGTTTTAATTTTCTATTTATCAATGTTTTGTTTATTATTAATTTTAGAATATTTTAACTGTAATTAAAATAATTGAATTTATATATAAGGAGAATTGTAATCATAGTGGTTAAATCGCTCCATTAGGCTACTCCATTTTGAAATCGCATATAACACTTGTATCGCGAAGAACAAGATATTAAAGATACCGACGTTACACACCCGACACACAAAGAAAATTTAACATGCTTCTTTGGGGGGTTACGAGACTTAATTCAGTCACAATAAGCGGAGACCTAACCGCAATATATGTAAAAAACTAGAAACAAATGAAGCAAAAATCGCAATTATCATAATGATGACAGTAGAATAAATGATAACGCGAAAACAGCAACATTATCGTATAATGGTACGAAATGTCTTCGCAATTTAATGTGATTTGATGTAAATTTTCCATTATGCAAAATTGTGATTCGCTTTTGCGTTTCGAGTAATCTTAATGGCTGAAATTTGTCTTGTTTTTATTCAAAACGTCGCGTCGTCAGGAAACTTGTGAGTTTCAAGAATTTTGAGCTATTTATGAGTTTACTGCGGTATCGCTGCTTAAGTTTTAAGAGCAATTAGCTTATTCAAGTTGAACTTAGCGGTTATATTTTTACTGTTAGAGGTTTTACGACGGTTAAAAAGTTTTATAAAGGGTTATTCGTTCATACATATGTCCCATGTATTATGCCTAAGCACACACAGGTCTATATGTTAAATCAAAATAAGTTCAAACAAAAAAAAATCATGTGCGTTAGAAGTTATACTTCTTTGACGTAACAAGATAAAAATCTTTTTAAATTCATTCGCCTTATTCTACGTTTGTAGAAAAAAATAATAATAACAATAGAAAAAAGGTATTAAATATACTGAAAGTTTTATTATAACGCATTATCTAGTTAAATAAAGTTTATTTAAATATCACAAAAAAATATTTCTACATAATTAAAGTAATGGACAATTTTTATTTTAAAATGTTTACTATGCTAATTTCAGGGTGTCGGTTTTTTGTGACGGTATGCGCGCGCATAATAAAATTTACTCTCATCATTTTTCCCTAACGCTCCAAAAGAAGTATTACTTCAAAAACTGAATGCGTTACACTCTCTCACGCTTAGCTCTTCAACATTTAAGAAAATAAAAATTTATTTACCAATATTGTACATAATATGTGTTTAAGGGTATATCTAAAAGTTAAAAAGAAGAAGAAGTTAAGGTCACCGAGACTAAGTCAATGAAGAAAAAAATAATGTATCTATTCTTTTGTTTCAGATTGTGCTATAAGAATTCGTAACCGCTCTGGACGCATACATTCCGGCCACCTGCCTCGTACACATGGCTGCCACCTCACATTCCCTCAACCCTCACCACGAAACGCCCTCCTCGTAGAACTACACAAACTTAATGTTCCCTGTTCTTCAGGGTATATCAGGTTCGCTCCAAACACCCCCACGATTTGTGGGAAACTGGAACAAATACCCTTACAATCCAGAAGGTATCTTTATCAGTCTTCGTCCAAACCAGAACTAGAACTCCACGGTCGACCTACGTTCGCCGCAATCTACCGTCTAGTAGACCACTGCCATGATGTCCTACTGACGGCCAGAAACGGCTCGTTCGACGTCGGCCCAACTGTCAAACTCATTTGCTCCTACAAAATACATTTACCCTATGGAAATCGTGTTGCGTTGCGACTCCAAATGGGCACAAAGCCCAATGAAAACTCTAATGTTGTTCACGAGGAGTCCAAAGTTTTTTGCAAAGGAATGGAACTGACCCTTCAAGATGGAGATTCCAGGTGGAAGCATTGCTCCCAGCCTGGTGATCCTCTACGAAGTGTACAGATTATATCTGAAGGGAATTCGATTAGACTCAACGTTAGCATACTTGCTAAAAAGAATTCTTCAGCCATGTGGTTAAAAGTTTGGTGGATGGATAAGCCAATGGAAGATATGGTTGGAAACTGCGAGTTTAGTTGGATTGCATCTGGTGATTTCTGTGTATCTGCTATTAGGGATATTAAAAAGACTTGGAGGCAAGCGGAAGCAGAGTGTGTGAAACTTGGAGGGCATTTAGCCAGCCTGGCAGATGAGCACCAGCAACAAATTTTAGACCAACTTTTATCCCACGCGTAAGTTAAATATACATTTTGCTTGTAATCAAAATATTTAAATGGAAACACTTAAATAAAGTATTTGTTCAAAGGGATATTATAAAACGAAGCGCGATTTAATTATATTTATCCGAGTTGATAACTTTGAGCGGCAGACAGGAATATTAAGTTCTGCTCAGATTTTTAGGACAGAATTTATCAGCAGCCCTTAAACAGAAATTCTTTATATAAGAAAACATACATTTAAAACTTATAATTATCTATAATTTTAACTACTCTGCACTGAATCGTGTACTATTGTATACGATTGAGTACAGAGATCCACCATGATATGTATGATTTAATCAATGTACTAAAATATTTTTTTCACTTTATATCTACCACATGTTAAATATTAAAAAACTTATATTAAACTTATTAGAACTTCTGTAAGTTAGAAAAGTTATTGTATTTGAAACCTAGCAAGAAGAATTTATCACGGGTTATAATAGGTTGGCGAAAAAGTTTCTTCGCATTTTTCAAGAAAATTCACAACATTTTTTAATATAGTTTATTTACATTTAACTAAAGTATGTTGGTACCATTTTGTTCGATAACTTTTTGCCATCTTGTAGTTAGGGATATGATCCAAAATGTATCGAATTTCTTCATTAGATTCACTTATCTTGACGGTACGAAAAATAAATATAAATCACACATTATCCTAATATGAATTTGGAATCTCAACTTTCAATGATAACAAAAACATATAGTATAGCCAAAGAGATTTTATTACAATTTCATACATAGTATAATGCGAAAAGACTTTTTCCCCAACCTAATATATATATAATATGACTAAAAGTCTATGAGCTGATATGATCGAAAAAAATATATTTCTATATTGGTTAATATCTAAGTATATAAAGGATAATGTAAAAAGATCTCGATTTTTTTAAGAAACTAGGTAACAGACATATTTAATATTTGGAATGAAAACCTCAAACATCTTGCTAAACAGAAGCAACACTTTGTAGAAGTGTTTAGTATAAATAATACGCCACTACGTCTTGGAAAATAATTATTGTTGCAGTTTGTAAATCCCACAAGTAACAAACTAACTCATATTAAAAATTGCAGGCCCGGAAGCCACGAAGACGACGTCTATTGGATAGGAGCCACTGACTCCGTTCACGAAGGGGAATTCCGGTGGTCTGACGGTCTACCTTTCTCTTACGCACGTGAGTACTATTCGTTATTTTATCTTCCTTAAATATAATTTTTTCCCGATATATTATAGTCTCGATTAGTGAGGTTGAGGTTAGATAGTATTTTGAAAGTATCGATGGAAGATTGTTACTCTTTCACGTAAAAACTACTGAATGGATTTCAATGAAACTTTACAATCATGTAGCTTATACATCAGAATAACACATAGGCCACAATTTATAAAGATATTGTGTGAATTGTCCAAAATATCATGTAAGTAGGAAAAAATCTGACAAAGACCCATACCGCACAAAACATTGTCGTGCAAAGTCGTGTCCAAATACATTTATGTCAAAATGTTAGTTTGTTTCTACGCTACGCCAATATAAGCTACTCGAAATACTAATACTAAGTCGCGGTCACCAGCTAGTATCCTATATTTTTACAAAAAATTAAAATTAAAATTGTATTCATTTAAAATTACTTTGCAGTGTTGTATGAGACAACAGAAAAAGATGTATTTTAATTTACAAAATGACATTAAAAATTCCTAGCTATCGCAGATTCTCCCGTTTATTAGTGTTATTCTGTTTAAACACCTACCAGTACTGTTGTGTGTTGTTCCCACGAGAATGTAAGTGCGTGCTCCTATTTCACCATGCCTCCTGCTGATAGAGGACAAAGCTTTGTTTTTAATTTATTTTATTATGATTAATTAACAATTGATTACTTAAGGTGGAACATGGTGTAATGTTTGCAGCAATAAACTTGGCGATTAAAAAGAGTGGCGGAGAGTTTAGTGCCAGTTCTTCTCTTCCGTCCTACGCCCTTGATTTGAGAACAGGCAGTAAATGTAAAATTAGAAGCATTTAATTTATATTTCTTTCTTGACGTTCATAAGTGTTCATTGTGTTACCTATATGAATAAATGATGTTGACTTTTGTAACAATTAAGCAAATTGTATCAATCTTCGCACAAATATAGATTATGTCTTAAGTAAATATGGCCTACTTCTCATTCTAACCTACGCAGCAAAGCAATGGGAACAAGTTATCCGACAATAGCACTGTTATACGACTTCTTGCACTTAGTTAATTGAATTATGAAGTGCATTTCAGGCGATTAACGCTATAATTTCAGTCTAGACGTAGGCACTTGTCAATATTGAATTATCTATCACGTTATTGAAGCATTGGCTATTGACGTGGCTCTGGATTATCTTCAATTAAAAATTAAAGTAATATAGTTACTATTTTAGATAGAGTATAAATAACAGAGCAGTGGTGGCCTAGTGGCTTCAGCGTGCGATTCTCATCCCTAAGGTCGTAGGTTCGATCCTGCGTTATGCACCAATGGACTTTCTTTCTATGTGCGCATTTAACATTAGCTCGAACGGTGAAGGAAAACATCGTGAGAAAACCGGCTTGCTTTACACCGAAAATGTCGACGGCGTGTGTCAGGTACATTAGGCTCATCACCAACTTGCCTATTAGATTTACAAATGATCATGAAACAGATGCTGAAAACTGAGGCCCAGACCTAAAAAAGTTGTAACGCCACTGATTTTTATTTCAGATGTGTAGTTGTGTGGTGTAAGAAAAATAACATTGTAATTCATAATAGAAAGTTAATTATTTAAATTAATTTAAGGCAAATAGTTGAAAGTAATTTTACCACGTTATATATTTTTGAAACTAGAGCGATAACGAATAAACCATTAATATTAAAGAACATATTCAAATTATTTGTATAACGAATTAACATATACATAATTGTATATAGCTTATCTTCTATACATGTTTCTTCCATACATTAGCATTTAAAACATTTGACTTGATGTGCAACTTATATAGAACTTAAAGAAAAGTATAATTATTCTGAAGTCGACCGAAAAACATATAAAATATTCTACAACACATAATGGTCTGCAAATTTGTCTTAAAGGTAGAATTTTTCTTAGTAGTCAGATATTACATTTCATTATAAATCATATAGTGAATTCTCATATTATTTATCACTACATTATAACATTATTAAAATATATTATCAAATTCTTATCTATAATATAAAAATGAATCGCAAAATGTGTTGGTAAGCGCATAACTCAATAACGCCTGGACCAATTTGGCCAATTCTTTTTTTATAATATTCCTTGAAGTACGAGGATGGTTCTTACGGAGAGAAAATTTAGTGAAAAAGTCTAAAAACAACACTTTTCTATATTCCCATACAAAAGATTCGTCATAATACTTAAGTCAATTATTTTATTATTATTAGTAAGTCAATTTGAACTTTAATACCATAGCATAAAGTTCAAGTGTTAGTGGAGGGGTTCCGAGAAGGTAATAATTTTTTGACATAATGTATTTGTTGTCTTATCAACTTTCTTTTTTTTTATCTTACTATCTAGACCGGTGTCCCGAATAGCAGAATAAGTATTTAAAAAAAATAAAGAATCTACTGTTAGGCGGTACGATGTTCGCCAGGCCAGCTAGTTAAATATTCAAGATTCAAAGCCTTTATTTCAACTAATACAAGAGAACAAAATATAAATGCACATAAAAAAAGTTCTAAGGTTTTGTTGCACAGCTGTCCTCTTGTACAGCTTGCCTTTTGTGGCACAAAGGCCTCCTCCAGCTGTTTCCAGTGCTTCCTATCCCTGGCAAGTCTTTGCCACAGAGGACCAGTGGCTTTTTTAAAGTCATCAGCCCATCACGCACATGGTCTTCCTCTCTTTCGCTTGGTGTTGTAGCGAGGTGTCCATTGGGTGACTTTTTTCGACCATTTTGCTCTCTGCCTCTGAGCAGGTGTCCTGTCCATCTCCATTTAAGGCTTTTGGCTCTGGTCATTACATCTTCCCAGTTAGTGATCCTTCGGAGATCTACAGCTCTTTTCCTACCATTCCGTGTGTAACCTAGTATTCTCCTTTCCATACTTCTCTGGCAAGTCACAAGCTTTTAACTTGTGACTTGCTTAGTGGTCCAAGTTTCGCAGCCGTACGTTAGGATAGGTAAGATGCAGGTGTTGAAGATGCTTCTTTTGATCTAATTTGAGTTAATTATAATAATAAGAAATAATATAAAAAAACAGCATTCAACTGATTCAGTTTTAGGATAAATCTTACATCACCATAATTAACAATGGTGTATACAAAGCTCTATCCCAACGTTAATTCAAATGCAAATTGCTAGTTTACATTCCGAAATAGCCTCGCCCCGAATCGAGATTGTGATAAGTGACGCGAAATAATTACTCTAATATATTGATTCTAGTGTGGTATAAATAACCAACTACAAATGAAGAACATGATGGTGAAAGTAAGTGGACGTTTTGAATTCAAAAGCAGCGCCACAGTTCTCACGCTGGTCAATACTTTTGACAGAACTGTGTTGGCCTAGTGGCTTCAGCATGCGATCACAGTTTTTGTCCCCGGCTGTGCACAAATGGACTTTCTGTCTATGTGCGCATTTAACATTTGCTCGATCGGTGAAGGAAAACATTGTGAGGAACTACATAAAAATCGACGGGTTGTGTCAGGCACAGAAGGCAGCCTTGCGATTCTGTAACATTCTGCTTTACGACTGATTTGAGCGCGAAAACCGCTGTGAGAGTTTGAAAAGTGAGTTACAGAATCGCAAGGCAGATCACCTATTTGCCTTTCAGAAATGAAAAATGATCACATACAGACATCTGAGTTCCAGCCAGATCTTGTAGAACGATCGTTGTAGGTTTTAAGTATTGACCAAATAAAAACCTAAATTTGTCTTATTCTGCTTAAACTATAGGTACTATATAAAATTACTGAATTTGAGAAAAAAATAAAATTTACTTTAAGCCTCAATTTATATACTACTCTAATGATTGATAGCACATAAAGGTGATTTGTATGATGTTTATTTGAATATACTTACTTTTTCACAAGTGTTATTTATAAGTAACTATTTAAAACTCAAACACCCATTAAATAAAAAATAAATTATACTTTAAATACGCAATAGTGCATATAGCTATTTGACATAAAACATATTTAAAATCACATTCCTTGTACAGGCTGCATCAGCTCTTTGAATTATTCAAAACTCTAGCTTTGAGAACTTATTCATTTTCCCACGAGATTATACAGCTTTCATGGAAATTTAAAACTTAAGGTTTTACTTGATGCTATTTGGCATACGAATACATGACTTCCTTATAACTTGAATAGATGGAGACAGGAAATGTAAGGAAAGGATTAACAATTAAAACCTTAAATAATAATTATTTTTATCTTAAATTGGCACTCAATTAACACGTTCACTGCGGCAAGTAAATTCATAATTCTTCATCAGGTGCGGCGGCGGGCCAAAATGCGCCCCCAATGATATTTCCTCCAGTGCGTGGCAGGTCTTTCTAGACCCAACAGCACTAAGATAGATTAACTCTCAGTGGATGCACAGCAGCGTCAGTGCGTGGTAGGTCGATAAAAGCCTGCCGTTATGTTTTGATGGGGAACACCTACAATTTTGACCGCAAGATGAAATATATATTTGTCCCTGTCGAATTTTTACAAACACCTGAGATAATCGTTACGCACCAGCGAGAGGGACATAGATTTCTTCGTCCGCACCAGCTGAAATACCGCGGCAGGCCGATATCGGCCTGTTACGCTGTGAACGTGTTAAAACTCATAATACTCGTAGGCTCGTTTCCTTTTCATTCGCTAAAATTGTACATAAATATTAAGGGCTTCAAAAAGATTAGTAAAATAAAACAAAGATCATTTTATTATATATTCTTGTCTTCTATTGGTCTTAGAATAGAACTGTATGCTGTCCAAAAATTATCAAAATACTAATAGTAATGTCAAAAAACTTTCACGTGCAGAATTTAATTTTGCAAATAGGCTTTCATTGACATGAATCACTTTAAAAAATTAGTGAATCACTTTAAAAAATTAGTGAAAGTGAACTAGGGAACGAAAAATACGAGGCCATACATAAAGGTTTTATACGCCCTCAGCCATTCTCAGTCGTCAATTGTCACCAACGACAGTTTAAAAACTACTATAATAATTATATCTAAACTACGAACTGAGCTATAAATATTTTTCCATTTGCTGAAGTAGTACATTTTGGATTGGGTAGAATATATTGTTTCTAAACATGTCGTGAATAATTCCTTTGCTTCATGCCCAGTGTCTCTTTAGATAGTAAAAATATTGAAACAGATATGAAAACAGAGTACCTTAAAAATATAATTTTCTTTTTAAATATTTAATTTAGTTTTATTATTTTCATTCATATTTTATACTTAAATCAGCTTCGTCAGAAATCGAGTCGTATATCGCCGATGCGAAAACCGCTGTGTGAGTTCGAAAAGTGAGTTACAGAATCGCAGGGCAGGATCGCTATGTGTAACACAATGTCTGAAACAGTAGCTTGCATATCGACAGGCTGCATTAATTTCTGAGGTGAACACTTTGAAAGAATTTTCAATTTATTCTATTGGGATGGGTGAAGCGGACAAACGAATACGCTATATAGGTCACTCTCCGAGTTATACATTCCCGCAATCCACGAGCTCCATCACTTTGCACGTGCGACCAGAATTCTTTGTGAATAGTTCGCCGCAATATGCCTTAGTTATGAAGAGTATATAGCTGAGCAAGATTTAATTTGCAGGTGGTAATAGTACAAGCATCTTGAAACAGCATCTCTTCTGTTCTTATTTTAGTACTGTCAGTAAATATAAATTTGAACCGTTTAATAATTGACGTTCATAATTGTAAACTGGTATACCGTTTGAATAAATTATATTTTATTACAACAATAAACCTTACCTACTGACTCTGGATATGGAGCTCGGCTTATATAAGCGGAAATTCAGAAATCCCGGATATGAAAGGAAAAAGGGTAACTGTTTCTAAACACTTTCCTATATATATTTCGATTATCATGTTGATAAAAGGGCCTGGGACTAGTGCTAGACAGGCACTTCTAATTAATTTGCGATATTTGTTTTAAAATAAGTTTTGTTTGACATAGTCATTTTGTATGATGATTTGCTATTTTAAAAGAGTACCAAGAGTGTTTTACGCCCGCTTCTCTCGGCCTACACCCTCTGTCTTCTTTGCCGATGAATAGGGATGTCTACCGATTCAAAGTTAATGACGTGGTATAAGTGATACCTGTATCTTAAATATTCCATAATAAACGTATTTTTTTTTTATAGATCTTGCACGAAACAGACAAAGAAATGTTTATATTGGGGGATTCGAACACTTCCAACAGAACTCCATGATGTCTCGTGTCTCTCCACTTGTCCTTTCGAATACTCTCTGTAACGTTGAAATGAACTGAGTATAAATAAATAATAGTTAAAAAAAACTAGAACACACGCTTTTAAAGCACATCAAACTAAAAAGTGAAAAATAATTTAGTTAATTTTTTTTTATTTTTTTCATTTTTTTTTCGGATTATTGCATTGTCATCGATCTTTGACAGGTGCGCAAAGTTTGAATTAAATCTGTCCGTTAAAAGTGGGTCAAAATCGAGTCCGAAGGAGTCGGTTACATACATACATACATACAGGTGAATCTAATATAAAGCGTGTAATAAATATATTCAAGTGCGATATGGAACTCTAGAGTCAATACAGAATTACAAAATTAATTAATGTTCTGCCCTGCGATTCTGTAACTCACTTTTCGACTCACACAGCGGTTTTCGCATCGGCGGTCCCTCTCAAATCAGTCGTGAAGCAGTAATTTTATGATTTGGCATTCTGATAAACAATAAACTACAAGCTCTCACCTTTTCATTACATTTATTGCATCATCTGCTCGTCTCTTAGGATGAATTATCAAATAGGATTAGCCATAATTATCAGTCCTATTAAACCATATTGTCATAGCTTTATCGCCAATTTGTCACTGAAAATGTTAACATTGCATTATAGTAAATTCTGATGTTACTAAATAATATATTAATTAATTCAACCAAGATTATACTAGTGTTAGTCAATTTTTAAATAAATATTTTTCATGGTTTTTGTTCTTAATTAGTACAAAAATGATATACTTGCACCTTTAATTCGATAACGTGTTATTTAAAGGGCATAGTCGTGCAATTTCAAGATGTTTCATTAATTAGAAAGTTAATTTGTAGGTATATAATAATAATAAATAAAAATTAATAAATGGAAAATTATAACAAATTTAAAAAATTTGGTCCCTGTGGTATTGTACCTTTAACGCTGGCAGCATTTCCTCGCTGTATTGCGATACTTATTCTTTGAGCAAAGACAGCACCAGGTCTGGGGTTACCGGTACAAAGATACTTGCCACTGGAAACTTTTTAAATTCGTTTTCTTTTTATATATATATAATTTTTTCATTATATGAAAGTTCGTTATAGTTGTGTTGGAATTTAAGAATTATGTATATTTGTAATTGAGTTCATCCTACGTAAATGTAAAATCAATTTCAAAGTACCAATAATTTTACAGACTGGTTTCCTGGATGGCGAAAGCATGCAAGTCAGCCGAATGATGATGGGACATCTGGGCAAGATTGTGTGGAAGTTCGCAGAGCGATGCCACCACGACCAGCCCACCCCACTTTCTTATGGAATGATAGAAGCTGTAGAGAGCATAACTACTTTGTGTGCGAGCGGCCTGGAGCAAATGGTAAGTAGTTAATTACTTGATAATTTTGTTAAAATTGATCTTGACGAAGTTATTTTTTAAATAAATTTCGTTTGTTTGTTTAAAATTGATAAAAATTGCAGAAAACATTCCTACCACTCGTATCGATTACACTTAAAGAAATTAAAAAACTACAACGAACATTAACATAATACTCGAAGTAGAGACCCTTTGGCCGCGCGGCTCAATTGTACAGGCGCTTAAAGATTGAAGTTGGCGCCTGGTATATGGTACCGGTGACCCCAGAGCTGGTGCTTTCCTCGCTCAACGAATAAGTATCGCAACTCGACTTTAGCGTTAAATTTGTTTCTAAAGGTCTCTGCAGTGAGGCTATGGAATTCACTACTCGTCCCATTCGCTTAGCTCCTTCTGTATCTTCCTTTAAATCTCAACTGTGCAAACATTACCTGTCCACATCCCTTACTTACGTACTAACTGATGTGAAACTGATCTATAATTGTCGTGATTCCATCGTGAGTCCTTTTTTATTATTGTCCTGTTCGCTGTTTACATAAGAAATGTTTAAATTGCTTTGTTTTGTTCCATTATCTTATCTAAAAAAAAATATCGCAGTGGTAGCCTGGATGAAATCGCTCGAAAGCGATAAGACCGCCGGTTCATTTAATTAGATCAATTGTATTATATTTCTTTACATGCAACGACGTGTTAATAAATAAATACTGTATATTTCTGTATTAGATTCGAAGTTAATTTTACACCATAATTTATCGACTTTAAAAGTTCCTAATTGGTATAAAAGTTAACTAACCAATATATGTCCTATACAATAAAAGCTCTAAAGCGAGACGTATTTCACGGAGTAGACAATACAATATATCAACGTGAATGGTGCTAACTCTATTGATTGTAGCCGTAAAGTGCAAGCTTTAGTGCTGGCTTCTAATGATTGAGTATAGTAGCGGGTGTGGTTTGACTTATTTTATTTACAAAAGCTTGCCAACGCTCGGATTACTGATACATTGGTACTTAACATTAACAAAAGCCTTTATTTCTAAAACTTGTAAAAACATTGAAGTTTCATTTATATGGATCCTAAAAAATAACTTTTAACAGTAGGTAAAATACAATGTCACATTTAGGAACTATCATATGCTTGCATTTTGGTTTGTCCACTGTTGGACATAGCCATCCGGTTCTACTAGTGACTGTCCTGGGTCAGGTATTACGTTATTATATTGTTCTTAGATATTCTTAGATTTCTCAGTGTGTTGAACCGAAAAACTGTTCTTGAGTGATTCTTGTTCTAATGGGTTCTTTCTGTCTGCCTTTAAATTGTTTTCTACTTTTGCTGTAATTGTCACGAACCATACGGTGGTCTGTCGGGTGACTTATAGATTTAATTAATACCACCCACCCAACATTGGTACTTCAAAACAATGAAATACAAAATTTAATGTGACAAACACTTAGGCAAAAAATCATAAATTTAAAAAAACTAAAGGATAATTGATTTCAAAGTGTAGGGTGCAACTATGGATATCAAGACCTAGCTTGTTTATCATTGGATTGAATCGCAAAAAAAATCATAATATTATAGCGTTATCGTAATTATTAATTAATAGGAACTTCTACGTTATTATCTGCGGATAATTTGTTTAATTTATTTTATAAACAAACAGAATACAAAGAGTACTTACAAACATGTTCTGTGCTTGAGGTAATAGACGGTATCAGGGTGAGGTAATGCAGGGGTTGCAGAAAATTCAATTAAAGTTCACCTTTTACTGTGCTCGAGTCGCTCAGAGTTGTGCACACAAAATATCCTCTACTTTGTCAATACACTTGTTATTTGAACTGGGAAGTGTATTCTATTGTAGAATTATTTACTGCCATTTATTGGTAAACCACGAACTCAAATAATATAACTCTTTCTGAAGCTTATAAATTTGGCGTTTTATTGGATTGATATTTCCATCTGTAATTATTTCCGAAACATTTCGACTTAGGAAGAAAAGAGAGTTACAATTCTTAAAAGGCCGGCAACGCACTCGCGAGCCCTCTGGCATTGGGAGTGTCGGTATCACTTAGCATAAGATGAGCCTTCTGCCCGTTTGTCTCCTGTTCTATTAAAAAGAATAAAGTGCAAATTGGTTTTACAATCATGTACATCATCTTTGTATGACAATGCATTGTGGTATATAGTGCAAATTTGGCAAAATATTTTGCACAATTTCGGCAATATCCGCCAAATTAGCTGTCTCATCTAAAAAGATAACTTACCGGGTCTCATTAGATCATTATTAAAGTTATATATTCCAGGTTTAGAGCAGTTGTTGGATTTAGCTAATCCCTGAGGTCGTAGGTTCGATCCCCGGCTCTGCACCAATAGACTTTATATGTGCGCATTTAACATTCGCTCGAATGGTGAAGGAAAACATAGTGAATAAACCGGCTTGCCTTAAATCCAAAAAGTCGACAGCATGTATCAGGCACAGGAGGCTGATCACCTCCTTGTCTATTAGATTGACAAATGATCAAGAAACAGATACTGAAATCTGAGGCCTAGAACTGAAAAGGTTGTAGCGCCACTGATTTATTTTTATTCCAGGTTTAAATTGCAGACTTCCACATCAATAAACAGTTACTCAAGTTCCTTTGACTTCATAATGGCATTTTACTCTCATACGTTATTATAGTTATTAAGTCGTTTCATTAATTTTTAACTCACTGAAAAGTGATGTGTTACTGAGAAATTTCAATTTTCAAAGTTACTTTATTTCGCGCTAAGCTTCACATTGTCATGAAAAGGTAGTTTCTTAAGCTTGAATATATCTCTCTAAATTACTTTTATTGAAACAAACTAATAATAGAAGCCATCATTAAAATTGGCTTACATAAGTCTTAGGCAGCGACAAAGGCTCCAGCTTCTTCCGTTTTGCACGACCTGCGCCGTCTTTAACCAAACTAACATGCGGCTTTTATTTGACCCATCTTTTGCACTGGCCTTCTCTCTGGACCATCGCGAATACCAGTACAAATATTGTTTTACTCCATAATGATTTCGTTACGTCTTCGAATACCTATCACATTATATTGTTAAGTTTGAAAGTACCAAACACAAATCATTTCCATCGATTTGATCGAATCATATCCTTAAATTAAATGATGGTAATCGAAATTGGTTTCTTTCAAACACGTCGATTCAATTCTCATTTGGTTTTTTTTGGTTAAAAAGAAGAGCCGAAAGATTTCTAATTAGCCGGCAGAGGCTTACACTTCGACGCGTCTATCTTTAACAGAACATAATCCCATTTGCAAAGTTAATGTTAGGATCTGAGAGGAGATCTGAAACGGGCACTTAAATGTCTATTAACCCGACAGTCAGGCGATAAACGGCCTCCCAACGACCTGTCACGTGGTTGCACGTACGGGCACAGTTTAAAACTGGTAATAATTTAAACCTAAAAGGAATATGTTTTTATTATCGTGTAGTAGACAACTGAATATTATTGGTGGTTTATTTCTCAAAAAAGGTGGATAGAAGAAATAGAAGCAGTAGCAGGAAACGAATGGAGAAAGAGAGCCATAGACAGAGTCAGTTGGAAAAAGCTGGAGGAGGCTTTTACCCGTGAAGGGGTTCCCATCGACGGTACTGAGGGAAGCTAGGATATAGAATAACAAGCAAATGAAAAAAAAATGTATAAAAATGTAAAACAATCTAAGCTATATATTATAATTTGTTTTTGTCATGATTGGAAATAAAACGGGCTTTATTATTATTATTTCTTGTTGTTTTTCGTGTGACTAGGATGAAACTCTTTTCGATTATAATAGATTACTGCAAAATTTTAAAAAAAATACTGAAAATAGTCACTGAAGGCTAAAGATAGTGATTTGCTAGTTACTAAGCAGACCATTATTTTTATAGGGTAGTAACAGATTAAATATTTATTTATTTATTTTATTTGCTCAACGGTATTCCAGCTACTTACTAAACAATATTCAAACAATTACACTGTACACAAAAACCAAAAACGGAGTACACATTTAAACATACACAAAGCACAGTTTCACCTATACAAATACAAAAAATATACAAAGAATATATGTATTTATAATAAATTCTAAGTTCTAAGATTAATTGTTCATTATAATATATATTTAAAAAAGCGTGTCGCCTAGGTACGTTTACGAATCACTCAGTAGTCATTATTGCAGTCTATTGTAAATAAAAAAGGAATCGCAAAATATGATGCTAAGTGCAAAACTCCAAGACGGCTGGACGAATTCGAGTATTTTTATTTTATTTATGCACAAACTCTGAGGGAAAATTGGAGAAATGAGTTTGCGGTATTAATCTTGAAAATGTATGTTTCTCGCATGGCCAATTGTATATTCCTGTGAAGAAATACTTTCAGCTATATTTATGCACCAAATCAACAAACATAAAAATGAAAATAATTTAACACAATGTTAGTAAATGTTTGCAGTGTATGAAAATAAACATTTTGCATTTTACATAAACAGCTACAGTCTCTATGGGGTAGCATAGCAAAGTGTTGAATATATTGGTATGTAGCTATTAAAAAGGTAGTCTAAAACTCATATTTAGGCAAAATGAAGTTCAGGGAGCCAGCTAGTTCTAGAATAAATAAAGTGTGTATGTGTATATCTAATATATAAAATTCTCGTGTCACAATGTTCGTTCCCATACTCCTCCGAAACAGCTCGACCGATTCTTATGAATTTTTTTATTCATATTCAGTAAGTCTGAGAATCGGCTACTATCTATCTTTCAAACCCCTATGTAATGTGTCCACCCCAAATTTTTTTTAAAATGTTTTTATATTTTTATGATACAACATACAAAAATACATACAACCCCTAATTTTCACCCCTCTACGATCAAATCCTATTTTTTGTTATTGTAGATAGTTATTTTTCTTGAACTAATAAAATGTTTCCTAGAAATAATATACATGGCAAAACAAACGTTTGCCGGGTCAGCTAGTATTATAATACGTATATAATAAATACAAAAAACGTTTAATCCTGGAGTGTTGGATGTTCCGAGATATAGAAATTTAGCCTGCTCATCATTCAACGATTAGAGCTTGTTTTTGCTAGAGCCGAAGTGCGGTTGAATGTACCTAGGAATGCGAACAATCCAATTGTTCTCAGGGAATTGGAATAGTCCTTATATAGGTCGAGATCTAGATAACCGCTAGCTTTTTCGTTCAACTTCATTTGCGTAGAATTAGAATGAGGTATTACATTAGGCAATTTCTACTCTCTATATTTGCCTGAAATTAAGGCAATATTATGTGACGAAAAATCATAATAAAAGGTATACAAAATAATCTGTCATTCCTTTTCCATCACTGCAAAGTTTTGCATGTGAACGTAGGTTATCTTATAAGCTCTTGTAATCTTTCGACGCCTGAGACGTAGCAGATTTTTCGGTCCAAATATTCTGGGATCCTCACTATGAATATAGAAAAGAAAGTCTATTGCCAGGATTCACATTCAAAGAGTCGCATGTTTATCAAATTAGCTTAATTTTTTAATGCTAAGTTTTATTTGCTATTTTCTGAAAAAAATTACCTTTGTAATTGATTTCAGATTACAACTTTTATAACTTTCAAAGTAATTTTGAATAGACTAAATTTGATCATAATATTCATTACTTACAATTACTATTGTGGGAGTAAAAATACATCTTTATCGTTGGCTACAGATCATTATTATTACTGTATTTTGTGATTGCTTGTTTAATTTTATCCCTTGATAGCTTGCTTATGTTCTAATATAATTGATGTGTATGTGTGTAAAATTTGAGATGTCATATTTTCTTGTATAATTTTATGCGTACACGTTGTTTTTGAACTTATAAATACATAAGTTTGTTGATCCTTTGTTTTAAATCGACTTTAAAATAGAATCTCAGTGTGTTGGATTGTTTTTCTCCGTTTAATCGAAGACACCTGAACCGATTTGTTAGTATATTTTATTGAAAGGGTACGCTCCCCAGCTTTTCCTATGATATAATATTATACATCTATTCTATATTATAATAATAATCTACAGGAGTAGACTCAGTGAATGAACTCTTTTGAAATTTATGGGCATACTTAATGCAATTTAAGTATTTCTTATACGATTTCTCTAGTAAGCAAAATATTATTTCAAATTAATTTAATATTAAGCTATCGACAAAAAAAAATCTGTTCGCGCTGTAATAATCAGTGCGTGGTTTTATTTCAATTATCGAGCGTTAATGTTGAAACCAAACCAATTCTTGCACGTGACTTTGAAATAATAAAAATTCTAGAACCTGTTCAGTAAAAATATTTTCAAACGAGACTATTACACAACAGTTTCCACTCGTGCATGAATACACGTCAAAACAATGAGCGTGTAAAATAGGTGGTTTTAAATGCGCTGCTTTCCATTCAAAAGGCGCAGGAAGTTGTTACTCGTCATACCCACCGACCACTGTCACCCGGTTGTAGGGTGACCGTGAAGAATAGAATATTATATGACGGAGAGATAAGAGATTAAGGAATTACAAAGGCGATTGACAGAAACTAAGCCTAAGATGACAGCTGACAGTAATGTCATTGCTCAGACATATATAATACTGCATTCTTGTCTGAATCATATATAGGGTAGGGCTATAGCACATAGATCAAGAGAAAGGGCTGAGCGTCGAATTTGTTCGGTGACAGTTATATGTGGGAGCGAGAAAGTTATATAAGGTCATACTCCTGCACTGTATGAATATAAGACGAAATGTAGGCGCATCGTTTGCGTTGACACGCGACATTATACGTCATGATATTACATACGGAAAATATTTAAGACTTTATAGAAACTATCCAAGCCCTCAATTTTTTTTAAAGACGAGATCAGCTATTATTAAACATCTAAAATATTGCCTATATTTATTACAAGTCTTAATGTAATTGAAGTATAGTGATTTCAACAACTATAAGTTATCATAAACGAAGATGGTACATAGCTTCGGTGAAACAATAATTGTTTCGGAATGTTAATAGTACTCCAGTTAGTATTTCAAGACACTAATTCCAAGGAAATTGTATTGTTATTAATGAGCTTGCGGTTTCATTTAAGGGCCGCAATTTATATACTGTAGTAACGAGTCCTGTAACAGACTGTACTGTCATCTCATAATAAGAGGAAATCTCTAACATTAGGTTAGCGTTTAGGCCACACAACAGAATACATGGACAAATGTCATAGTTTTTTAATAAGGATTTATATTCATAATTAAATTTATATATCTATTGATTTCTATCGTCAAAGATTTGTAGAGACAAACAAAAGTCTTCAAGGACATATGGAGCTCGTGCAGGTCCCTCTCAAAGGCAAATTTCCAGAGGTATCTGAGCTCGCCAACACGCCCATTGGTATTCCCAGATATGCTTTCTTTACACTTCGATCCTCTTCTATTCTCTCGAGGTGGCCGGAGTCTATTGACTTTGGCATCCCACATATGTTGGGTTGGGGTACCGTCTCCTCATTCTCCTCCAACGCTCTATCCTCCATTTTTTTTTTATTGGGCCAAGAATATTCTTCAGTAGTTTCCTTTCGGCTACCAATTATTTCGCCCTTTTTTAACTCGATATTAAATTTGATGCAGGAAATATTTTATTCACTTAAAGTCATGGACACCGCACACACGGCTGTCGTCGACCTAGATGTTGAACGGACTATTGTCGTGAGTCAAATGACAGTTTCACATATTAGGTAACTACTCGTGATACTATAGTTAGAAATGTTAAGCAATATTAACCATTATTAAAAAACTTCATAAAACCTAGAAGGGAGTAGTCGAAATTGAATCTATACTAATATAACAAAGAGGAAAGGAAAGGAAGTTTTGTGTTTGTTGAATAAATAATCACTGTTATTAAAAATATTGTTTTAAAAATACTGCTAATAATTACGAGAGCTAAGATTTTGCAAATATAGTTTAGTATTTATCGTAGTGATTGCGTAAATTGATGTTAATATTTGCAATAAATAATGAATTGTACTATATTTTAATCCGTACATGGTATATGTACGGGTATGGTTCTCTTTTCACACTCGAAAGTCAGTAATTCTGCTGGCGCAATGCCGAGTGAGTGAGCTTCCGAGACAAGAGAACCTTCGACAATCTTACGATACTTCTTGTTCTTCGGTCACATGGAGCTGATCCCTCTCAATGGCAAATTTCCAGCGATATCTGAGTCCGCCAACACGCCCATTGGTATTCCCAGATATGCTTTATTTACACTTCAATCCACTCCTATTCTCTCATGATGGCCAGACCGGAGTCTATTGACTTTGGCAGTATCCGGCTAATAAATAAATTTAAAAAAAAAAAAAAAATTTGACTTTGGCATCCCACACAATGTTGGGTTGGGGTACCGTCTCCTCAACCTACTCCGACTCTCCATCCTCTATTTTTATTTTTAATTGAGCCAAGAATATTCTTCAGTAGTTTCCTTTCGGCTACATTATTTCCCCTTTTTTTAAGTCGAAAAATTAATAAATTACTTTACCTTTTGAATCGGTTAATACCTGCTTGTTTGCGTCATGCGATTAAAACAGGTAATGTGCTATGTTTTTGTGTAATATTTACGTAAATACTTCAATTTAAAGGCCGGCAACTCACTAAAAATCTATGTGCAGGGCAGTCTATGACTGCCCTTTTTGGCATCCCGTAGGCTCATTTACCCCATTATATAAATTAGAATAATTACACTAAAATTAATAGCAAACATGAACATATTCAAATACTTATACAATAAGGTACATTTCCCCGCAAACATCCAGTAAAACGTTTTAAAACGAATAACTTAGACTTTTCTCCTACGAGCACATTTCTTATTTAAATAAAAAATGGTCGCTCTATTTATTCCTGTACAGTATTCTAGAATTAGTCATGTCTAGAGCATTGTTAATTAATTTTGTTAATTAGAACATAATGCTAAGAATGTATTGCTTGTAATTAGATTACATTGCGTAATTGATGTAATATATTAATAACATATAACCCTTGATTTGAGAACTGGCAGTAAATGTAAAATAAGAAGCATTTAATATGTAGTTCTTTAATGACGTTCATAAGTGTGCATTGTGTTACCTTAATGAATAAATGATTTTGAAATTATTATTTTTTAATTGTTATTAATAGAAGTAGTTTAAGAGTATAACATGTGCGTAAGGTAATTTCAAATAATTTGTGACTAACGACCCGAAATCAGTAAATTATTGTTACCGAAGACTGATTACATATTTACAAAGAAAACTGCTTAGTAAAATCGATGCCGACATGAGTCCGCCCCATACCTCTTTTGGTCAATGGTAAAGGTAATGTAGAATGTCTCCCATTTTGAATAACGCGTATTGTATTATACCTTTAATATAATCATTAATTAACGGGACTACAACAGGAAATAAAAGCAATCTGCTAATAAGAAATAACTTGCTGAAACGCGTCAAAATATGTTAATAATTGATTAAAGTGGCTTTTATATACGCACGAAGACTTATAAATGTAAATAATATTTGCATGTTCTAGTGTTATACAAATACATTTAGTTTTTTCGTCGTTTGAACGTTTTGAGAACCAGTTCAAAAAAATATTTTGATATCGCCCTAAAATGGTTGTAATAATTTTATTTAGTGTACTGACCTTTTCTCGCCCAACCTTATTATCCTAACCTTACAGTTAAGAAAAAACAGTAGCGCCCCTTTTAACACGATATGAAAATGTGCTGTGTGGGGAACAAAGACTCTTTAAATCGGACAGGTGAGCCTACTGCCTTGGACCTCTGTCCTATAAACATACAGAATACTACATAATATGTAAGACTACTATAGTGTCTATGTATCCGTGACAAAATGAGAACTCATTTCTGTGTTTACTGTAAATTCAATATATTTTTATCAAACTAAAAGACTTTTTTTATAAGTTCTTAAAAGAAAATATGACATCTAAATTTTACACACATACACATCAATTATATTAGAGCATAAGCAAGGGAAAAAATTAAACAAGAAACCTCTAAATAAAAAAAACTATCCAAAAAGTAACAATAAACTAAATATGAACTTAATAAGTCAGATTTGTCTCCGACTACTCCGACTTTTGTACTGGTATTACATGTACTGTTTTCCATACATGGGGAAAACCTAATGATAATGATTTATTGTAAATAATAATTGTTAACGTCTGTGAGAGAAGATCATAACATGATTTTGCGAAGTGTGACGGATTTGGGTCTTAGAATCTCTCCACCTGGTATTTTAGAATTTATATCAATACTGTTAAGGAAGTTGGCTGATTCATAAAAAAGTTATTATTAGGCTGAGAGATGGATTCATATACAGTGGAAAAAAATCCGCATGCTATAATAACAGTCATGTTACAAATAGGTGCACCCTCAATAGCCACTTTATGATTAAAACCAACATAAGCAGGGACAGAGGAGGTTTTAGTTTCGTTTTAATGTAATTTCAAAATAATATAAAATTTCCAATTTTTTATGATTATAAAACCATATCTGTTGAAAAGTCTAAAAGCGCTCTTGTATGGATAATATTTATTTTGCTGAAAGCTTCGACTCACTCGCGTTTTGTTACGATGTTATGTGTATTAGATTTTCCATTTCATAATTTGATTGCATTGAAGAAATATAATAAGATTTTCATATATTTCGCTTTTTAGGTAATTCTTGACGTCCAACGGTTTCGTGAGTTCGTTTTGTATATTTAAAAATTTATTTGAAGATTATAGTTTGTTTATTTATCATATACAAATAAGTGTTGGCCTAGCATGCGACTCTCATTCCTGAGGTCGTACGTTCGATCCCCGGCTGTGTGGTCGGCGGCTATAAAAGACAGATAAAAAATAATCAAAAATTTGATTAAATCGCCAAGATCCTGATAGTCTACCAATAAAGAAACCATACACTGAAAATTTTATGGAATTTCCGTTACTTGTAAAACATTTTTGTATAAAACGGCCCCATGCACATTTACACTGTGCTTTGTCGGCCGTCAAAGATCTCTTTTTTCCATTTATGGCTCTCGTATAAAGTTCCCATGAATCCTTTTACGTTTCAATACTAGGTCAAAACCACTAAAACAGACCGATCACGTATTGACTTAACGGGCCATATGAAACACTCGATTACCATTCAGTATATTAAGCCATTTCACACTTACCGCATTTACGACCGTTTTTATACCTTTAACAAGATTTTCGGGTGCTTGAGATAAAACGTTAAGGATTTTTGATGTCTGTTATATTTTTGATGGGGTATTATTTTAATACTATCAGTGTTGGCCTAGTGGCTTCACCGTGCAACTCTCATCTCTGAGGTAGTAGGTTCGATCTCCTGCTGGGCACCAATGGATTTTCTTTCTGTGCGCATTTAATATTCGCTCGAACGGTGAAGTAAAACATCATGAGGAAACCGGCTTGTCTTAAACCCAAACCCAGGATTTGTGAATGGATAACAATCATAAGATTATAAATGCGTAATAATACCGTTCGTTTAGCAAGTACTTCGAGTTTAAAAACGCGGAATATCTATATTTTTTAGCGGATCATCTTCTTACTGTGCGTATCTCATTTTGAAAGTTTGCAATAACCATGGCTACTTTAACTTGGGATGCCGCGCTTCTAAAGAATAACTCGGTGCTTTTTATTTACATAATCAATATCTCGAGTAGACCAGTCATAGTCAGGAAGAGACCCAGCCAATAGATCACTGTCAATTTGTTTCTTACAAACGTGAATGTGAAGCTGGATTTTAACAATGATGTATGGTTTATTAATTACCTTTCCATTATTTTACAAAGCATAAACCATCTTGAATTAGTCTTCTCTTGCGTTCTGCAAATATGTTTCGTTAATATTAGATTTTACAGATAATAACTCTGATGGGTTGTTATCTGTAAAACTACTAAGGTAGAGTTCAATTTTAATAATGAAAAATTGAAATATAAATTTATTCTACATGACTCACTAGTCGTGTCGGCCAGTCTCAATAGAGGCACAAGCTGGGGCGAACTGCCCTGGAGGCTATTAGAAATGTTATATGTCGATAGAAAGATCTGCATAAACTGCACTGGACTAATGAAAACTACTATATTTCTCTATTTTATGATCCATTAAATATTTTAATAGTCGGTTAATAGTGTTGTGCATAAACTCAGCTCCGCCATTAAAAAAGTGATAAAAAGAGTAATCTCATTGTATTTAAAGCTGATCCTTTGAGCTTTAGGATATACTTCATAGGAAGAGTTATGAGCGTGTATTTTTACCGCATTTTTACGATTATAACCGCAGTTAACGACTACAGGGGCACGCAGTTTCGTACTTTGTTGGTTTTGCGGTTAAGCGAAATTTTTCAGTAACGACAAAGAAGAGCAAAAATTTAATTTCTCTCATTCGTAAGTAAGAGTAATTTTTTAATGCTTTAAAATATTTATTTTTGTTCATACTAAAAGAATATAGTCTAGTATATAAATATAGTTTAGTGACACTTTGAAGCTCCAAACTTCATATATTTTTACCGATATATTAAATTTTTTTTTTAGTTAGTAGGCTTATTAAACTGATATTATATTTATTTTAAAACATCCATTAATCTGCTCTCTAAATATGTAAATACTTCTATACTATTGTATATACATATAATGTCTATACATAGAACCAGATATATCGCTGTCCTTAAGGCATAATGATTATATTATAAATGGAATTGTATCTAAAATCTCTGAGATAATGGCATTGAATAAGCCAGCGGCAATTGAGGCACCGAAATAGTTTTCTCAACTGTTACATAACAAAAAGTTTGGGTAACATTTCTCAACATACCTGAAGACGCTCACATAGTTTCATATAAACCGTAGAATGTCGTAGCACTATCGTAGCATATGTAGAACGCTGTAGACGTCTACGGTCTACAAAATGTGTAGCAAATCTGCTGTAATAGAAAACTTGACAGAGCTTTGGAGCGTCTCGAGGTTAAATTTTACTAATGTCATAGTGAATTGAAATATTTTTCAATTTTGTAAGTGTAGTACATATTCGTACGTATTCGTTGTTGTTGTTCTATGGAAATGTCAAACATAATAAATAATAATAAAAACTTTATTTATGACAAAAGGGTTGTGACAGAATTCATGTATCGCTAGTCCCCACACTAGAGGCCCTGTGTTGTGGGTAAGTAGAAAACAATTATTACGTGGTACATGTCTGAAACAGTTAAAAAAAAGATAATAGTAAAAAATAAAATAATACATTTAGTGTAACTCCAACTGTACATAAGTTAGCGTTTTACATAATAGCGATGTTTGTAATAATTGCTAAGCGCGAGGTCCATTCAAACTCTTATTTTACATTATTATATGTTTTTACTAAGACAGAAGTTAAGAGTCAAATCTTAATTTTATGGGCCTATTCAATGACATATTTGAGTCAACGACATATTATAAGACTGTAAAGAAAAATTTAAAAAAAAACAGAAACATAGTTCTGTAGCCTAAGACACATAGTGACACACGTTCACTTATGTCGGTTGTGTCGCACCATTGGATGCATTTATTGCTTGCTGCCCCCGAGAAATTCCTTTCGCCTTAATATGATATACTTAGCCTACCTTTTTAGTATCTACATTCCGATATATGGAACATTTTGCTTTGCTACCCCATAGAGACTGTTTGCTTTTCCGCAATAAAAACTGAAGTACTAAATAAGACTAAATATTCTAAATTTATAGTTCAGAGTTCAAGGAATTAATAAAAAATGCTTGAAATTGCGATTAAGTTTTATTTATATAGATTTAATGAAATCATGACCAGACAACACTTTACTACAACTTATCACTGCAATAAAGAAATATTGTTCCAATCATTCAAATCGCATAAGCCCATAAAATTCGCAAATAAACACTGAAACAAGATACGGTAGCAAGCCGTTGAATTGACTGAATTGAATTCATTCGTATGCGGGACTCGTCATCCGCGGTTACTATTGCCTCGTTACACTGACATACAATATTTATTACGTCGTATTTCATCCAATCTGTCTGCTTACAAATTACTTCCAATAAAGGTACCCTTTCAAATAAAAGAAAAAAACGTGGATCCAATTATAGCTGTTTTAATAACATCCGTTTGATATGTTTTGCGGTTGAACTTAATGATTAGTTACTGTAATACCTAGATAATATTAAAAATGAAGACAAATATAACACATTATATTTTTGTTTGTATTCGCGTTATCCTGTAATTTTTCATGAGGTAGATAATATATGTGTTTTATTCATATTATTTAAAAAGCACACTTATATGCCTGCCAACACAGCTACATATATTTTGTTTTGGTTAAGAGATCGTATATAATCACATATTCAATCCAGAAATCGAACGCAAGTTCGTCATGTACGTTATTTTACAACGACGATAGGGCAAGTAGGTACCTGCTCTATGCTTTTCTAAATTTTATTTAAGTATGCGGGACTCGTCATAAAATATAAAAACTTAAATGAAAACTCGTGTAAAAATAGCTTATTAAAGCTCTGTGTGTCAAGTCAATGTATTTATTTCAATTAGGGCTATTAAAAGGCAATATAAAATAAAATAATATAAGTTAAAATATTAAAAAAACATAAGTCTGCCAAAAAGTAGTTTCATATGGAGAAGAATGGGCAAAAAACTCCATACTTACTATTTTAAAATAGTTTTACAATATGTATGGAGTACTTACAACAAAAAAAACCAACTATGTGTTATAAAAACCATTGCACCAGATAACCAAATTATTATGTAGATATATAGTGCTCTCATATTTTCAAATATTGCAGCTATACTAATAAAAATAAATAAATAAATATAAATAAATAATATAAATAATAAATTTAAATCGTACATTAAAGTAAAACTGCTTGCTAAGGCTTATTATAATATAAATGAATATTTAAACGATCCTAGTGCTTGGATATGAGTTGCTCCAGTATATATTATAGGTAACACGACTGAATCTCTCGGCTGCATTTCCAGACTCTGGGGCGATCGTCAACATCCACGACTGTTTTAATGTAAAGTGGGAACAAACCGTGATCCATGTAGTATCCAATTATTTCAGTATTATTATTATTTTCTTATGTAGCCAAGTCCACATTTCAAGGATCGTCATGCTCGCTTAAATGTCATTGCTTGTGGCGGCGTCCATGCATCGGGTTGTCTCTCTCCCTAAAATATGGCGAGGGGGCCGATGGCTGGCCATGCGTCATACTCGTGAACGGGTGCTACTTGTGGTGACTGGTCGTACTTGAATTCGTGTATGCGGCGATGTTAATTATTTCGACTATGTGTTTGCGTGTTGTTCCCACGAGAATGTAAGTGCGTGCTCCTATTTCACCATGCCTCCTGCTGATACGGGACAAGTCTTTGTTTTTATTTATGTTATTATTATTAATTACTTAAAATATCATGTGGAACATGGTGTAATGGTTGCAGCTCCTTACAAACGTTGTAAAAAAAAAAAACATGGCGATTAAAATGAGTGACGGAGAGTTTATTGCCAGTTCTTCTCTTCCGTTCTACGCCCTTGATTTGAGAACTGGCAGTAAATGTAAAATTAGAAGCATTAATATTTATTTCTTTAATGACGAATCACAAGTGTACATTGTGTTACCTACGTGAATAAATGATTTTTGAATTTGAATTTGAATTTGAAAACATTTACATATAAAATTAACAATATCAAGTAATACAATATAATACAGCTTTAACAAGAACAAGAAAACAAGAACTATGTGTAGTTAGCTTTATCGTATGTTTGTGGACGCTTTGCATCTCGGTCAAAGTATGTAACAACAAAATTAGCCGACTTCCAGCGCTACCTACGCTTAATCACAGCGGAACCATTATTCACAGCGGAGAGCAAATTATAGAGAGCTTAATAATAACTTTAAATTGCTACTTTTTTCTGATTTAACTATTTAAATTTTATTATTACTAATATTTGAAGTATTATCTTCTAATATTAATATATAAAATTCTCGTGTCATTGTGTTTGTAATTAAACTCCTCCGAAATGGCTCGACCGATTTTCGAGAAATTTTGTGAGCATATCGGTTACGTCTGCAAATCGAACAATATCTACTTTTCATTCCCTATGTTTTTTTATGACAATTTTTGTTTTTATTTTTGATATGCATATAAAAAACATACAACCCTTAATTTTCCCCCCTCTACGATCAACCCTCTACGATTTATTGAACTAAAAAAATGTTTCCTAGTAATAATATACATGGCAAAACAACGTTTGCCGGGTCAGCTAGTTATAAATAAAATACATTTTAAAATTTACAGCACGTAGTATTATTATATGTAGTAAATGTTTTATTAAATTGATTTCTTAAGTTGGACTAAGACACCTTGCAATATACTCTCCGCTTTTTAAATCGGCAATTTGTTTATTTTACATGATGTTTGTAAGGAGAGGAAACCATGATATTATAATTCTGACAAGTCTGAATCAAGTAAATGAAATATATCTATTGTATATTTATTTGAGCACAAAAAAAGACTACAATATAATTCCAAGTACGTTATAGAAAGCTCCAATACCTTTCTTGAGATAAAGTTTTTCTTTCTATGGTAAAGTATCAAAGAGATCATAAATAATGTATAGATATTGAATAAAGTTGTATAACAAAAGATGGAACAGAATACAGATTTCTTTGAATACGTCATATTGTGTACCGATAGTGAATAAATGAATTTCAAATATGTTACGAGTATTGTATATGTTTATGTTGTTCCTAACTTGTTGACACATCATAAACATTGGAATGATAAATGTTTAATTGACTGCGGTTTTGTCAGCTTAAATTTGAATATAATTATTAATCCAGTGCGCAACAACCCAAATCGGTCTGGGCCTGACATTTCTTCCGTTTCTTCGATAATTTTTATTTTATAGATAAATAGGTGATCAGCCTTCTGCACCTGACACACGCCATCACGCTTTTTTGGGTCTAAAGCATGCCTTTACCGTATGAACGAGTGTTGAGAGCGCACATAGACTGAAAGATCAATGGTATAGAGACAGAGATCGAACCTAAGACCTCAGGCAAAAGAGTCGCACACTAAGGCCAAAACTGCTCTTCCAACTAATATATAATAACAGTATATTATCGAAGAAAGGTGATGCATGGGGTGTGACATAACCGAGTGATAGATCATCTAATTTTCAAATAGGTGTATCAGATTTCTACCCGAAACAGATCGTCATAGTTGTAGAATAGTGACGGATCTGACAAATAGTAAACTTTACAGGGCAGCCATTTCAAAATAATATAATCATGTTAGCTTTTTTCATTACTATTTTAATTCATACTCTCTTATTATGAAAATTGACATACAAGCAAACAAAAGGTTATGTTTTGAAACAAAATAAAAACAATAACATTAAATTACACAGTTTTCTAGAAAAATCACATGTTTCTATCAAATCCGTCACTTTACCGACTGATTAATTTTAAATTTAAATAATAGTTGCCGTAATATTTAGTCAATGTAGTATCCAAATATGATAAAAAGTGGATTTTGGATATTTTCCAAATCCGACATTGTTCTACGATCATGACGAGATATTTCTTTACCGGGCATCGATCATAAGACGTCAAACCTTAACGCTATTCATGACCCCTAACGTCTAACGATGGGCTTAAAAGTTTGAAAACTGACACATAGATGGCGCTACTAGTATGAAATTAATAGTGGGGCTATCTACCTTCAAAAGGCACGTGTAAAAATTTAATTGAATTATAGTATTTTGAGTGAAGGAACTTTTGTTTGTAAGTATAATTGAATATATTTGTTGTTACAGACCCATACAAGGCCTCGTATATCCAGTGCAACGAAACCATAGTCCTGTCTCACGCCTACCAACACGCTACCGTCTCGAGCCCCGGGTTTCCTCGACCGTATCCAGACGATGCCGAGTGCGTGACTGAAATCCGGGCACCACCACAGCATTCGATAAGGCTACACTTTGAAGAGCTGCTGACAGAACATGAACCTCAGTAAGTATTTAGACTAATGTTTAATGTTTAAGAACTTTATTTCGCATTACAATTATTTACATGAGAAACTACTTATACAAACGAGATACACGTCGCCATCAGCCGTCCCAATTTTAGTCTAGGCTCATTCTGATATTTATTTTTAATGCCCTTTTGAATTGGTTAAACGCGCTAATATTACGAAATTAAGACGGTAATTGATTAAATAATTGCACATCCTCATACTTAATAGACTTCTTCAAATCATTTGTACGCAAGGTAAGCAAAGTCGCTCCACGAGTGTTGCGTGCAGTGGTTTGATGTGTTTGATTTTTTTAAATGTTAAGCTTCTATGGAAAGAGTTATTTTATTTTAAATTAAGATACAGGTACATATAGTTGTTTGATCGTCATAATTATATTTGTATTTATACTAAATTTAGGTACTTAAAACCTTTACTTACCTGATATCACAACTTTGAAATCGCACGGTGCAAAAACTTAACATTGAATGTCGCTATGGGTACTGATGCTGCACTTGCTACCTTTAAAAAGGAGTATAAGAACTGTAAAAAAGTTATTTCTCTTAATAAATGGTCCGTCTCAATAAGATATATATATATATATATATATATATATATATATAATATATATATATAATATTTATTTACCGCCTCAATTTGTTAAAGAATCTTTTAAATAAGTACTATAGTGATAGAATTAACATTTGATAGATTTAATGTGTATTTGAATTTTATGAATATAACTATAAATAATATGGAACATAAAACGCTTTGAATCTTTACGTATATTTCGCTTGGTTTTAAGCTGGAAAAAAGAATCGCATTTGGAAATCAGTATTTAATTTAATTAACAGGCCCTTTCCGCCAAGAGCTGTATTGGTAATTTGGTAGGAAAATCCACATTTATTTATGTGGCACTGAGTTTATGTTTATAAGTTGCTTAATAAATGCTGCACAAATATTTAAACTTCCCATCTGGGATAACTAAAAAATCAGTGGCGCTCCAACCTCTTTAGGTCTCTAGGTCTTTAGGTGAGCCTCCTGCCCGTTTGCCCTCTGTTCTATAAAAACAAAGAACATAAACGGTGCCAAAGCTAATTACAAACATGTAAACAAAGCTCACGTTAGGCAATCTGGCATAGTTTAAATAAACAATACAAAATTAAAATTACCCACACAGCGTGAACAGTTTTATGACGTGGATTATCGCACAAACAAATAAATCACGCACAAATCCAAACAAATAGCAGTACATCATATTTTGTTTGTTCGTAATTACAAAAGTTTGTTGCTGGATTATTTCAGTATATTTTATCTATATAACATTTATATAATATTAGATCCTTGTATATGAAATTGGCGTTTTGTATGGGAGGAACAAAAAGTAGATGTTTTTTAAATAGAATATATTTAATTAATCAAAGTATGTACCATTGCTATCTATGCGCACTTTTGCCATCTTATAGGTAGATTCATTGATCCTTTTACTAAAAAACCATTTGGACGGGAATCAATAATATTTGAAGTCAGTTTCGAATACCCCATCAGAGTTGATTTTTTTTACATTGCAAGAAGTTATCCAAATTTTTATTATTTCGAAAAATGGTAATCTTTTGGAGCAAGGTCCGGGGACCAATACAAGGACCTAATATTATATACTTACCACTTGTTAAATATATGTTATTTTTTTAAAGCCAAAATTAATTTATTCATGTAGGTAACACAATGTACACTTATGAACGTCAAAAAATAAATATATATGAAAAGCTTCTAATTTTACATTTACTGCCAGTTCTCAAATCAGGGGCGTACAACGGAAGAGAAGAACTGGCAATAAACTCTCCGCCACTCTTTTAATCGCCAAGTTTTTTGTTTTACACAACGTTTGTAAGGAGCTGCAACCATGCGGTTAAGGTTTGGGTGATTTCTTCGACATCTGGCGAAAGCAAAGCGTTTTGTATATTTTTGTTTGAACTTTACACTACTTTAATACATAGTATATTAAATTAAAGGCTCATGTTTAATTGAATGTTATTACCATTTTGCCGTCTAAAAGAGTTTTTAAACATTAAATCTACGTTCTTCACAAAACAACCGCAAATAATGCGAATAACCCATACATTAATAACAAATGAATACGTTGACATCAATCGTTGTAAAATGTAACCGCATCGTTAAAGCCAGGCTTATCATAATGAGAGCGCTTTTACCTGCCTATTTTGCATAACAATCATACATAGAAAATCTATAAGTGTTCTAGTAGGTGATCAGCCTCCTCCTCCAGCATTTTTAAGCATAATTTTTTTGATGACGTTCATAAGTCACATTGGTACCTACGTAATTTATATTTTAATAAAACTTTATTTAAGTTTTTTTTAAACATGTTACTTTCCAGCACCTAAATAAATTTGACATCGCAGATGTGTGGTTGTAAAAAAAACGTGCGTTTTGTTTGATCGTTATGGTAAATAACTACAAAACACTAGTTCAATTGTTATTGATCCAATTTGAGATGATACAATTTTATTATTATCAAGTTCTCCAATCCATCATTCGTTTAATATTGTCACCGTGTGGCGTATCTATCATTGGGCTATAGTTTCATCTTTTGTTTTACACTCGCTTCAAATTCTACAATTAACTTAGCAATACAAGTTATCTAGTTAATTAGTTGAATATTCGTTAAATAAGCGAGATCCCGATCAATAACATCAAAGATTGTATAGCGTTGTTAATTAAGATGCTGATCTAATCCGCTGCGAAGGCCTGGTTCTCATGGCACTAGGAAATTGAGTACGGATTGCCCCACTTTGTCGATCTTCATTTGATTATATCGGGACTTGGATTTTGTAGAGCACCTTCATTTTATGATTTAAAATACAATACTTTAGTACAAATATGTAAAATATAAATTTGATGCAAAATTACAAAGGACGCGGTAAGTTTTATGTATATTTGTCTATGATTTGATTAAGGAATTTATGCATTAGATTTATATTTGGACTTCGTAAATTTAACCCGGAATTCCGAAGTAAACTCAACTGATTACTCTTCCCATTCCGGCGTAAAATGCACATTTTACAATATTTCTATAATGTTATTTTCGTTACTAAAACTCTTAATTACTTAATGTAAAATTGTATGTTGCTCTCTTTTTGATTTTCGTTCCCGTGACAATCAAATTCTTGAAACTCTTACTCATGAAACTGAATTCTACCACTATTCCTTTACAGTGCTTCAGAAATCTTTTCCTCATGAAATCAGACGAGCTCAGTCATTAAATTCATTTAAAAATCTCCTTCTTGAGAATTCTCTTCTAGCTTCTAATTAGCTACTTCTATATATTAATTCTAATTCATTAAGATTACCTTTTACTTTTTAAGATGGCTAAATTCTAGCGTTTAGTTTTGCACTTCTTGCACTCTACCCTCAGTAGGTATTTCTTTTTGCTTACTAGGCCTGAAATAAATAGCTTGTTACCAATAATAACGTTGTTACCTAATAAATGTATGTTAATGATAACGAATGGTAAATAATTAAAATAGTAGCTGATCCTTTGATATTGTCAAAACTACTAAAAAACCTATATTCGTGCAAGTAATTACTCGAGTAAATACTGCAAATATTATTTACAAGACTTAAAAAAATCAAATTCATTATTTATTTAAGAAAGAGCTTATACGATTGAGTTTTGTAATCGATCGCTTGATATAAAGCCTATAGTTTTTAATAAATAATGCGTAATGCGCTGTCGACCGCTTTTATCATTATTTCTTGTTGGTTGATATCCAAAAACATTCATTTGCTGAGTAATTTTACTATTTACAAATAACTCTGTTGAGGTTAAAAAGTGTACGTGTTTACCTATATTAATAAAGGTTTTTTGAGTTTGAGTTTGAACTGAAAAAAATTTCAACAAAAAGTTTATTATGGCCTAGCCAGATACAAATCTTAACATTATTACTATTTTCTGTTGAAAATGAAAAATATATGTTAGCTTTGGCGACAGGGATCAAAAAAGTTAAGAACGGCCTTGAGGCTTTTATCGCAGTACATATTCAATTACCTTACCTTACCTTAAAGTAAACTTAATAATTAAAAACCAATACGCATTTTAAACAAACGGAGAACAAATCTTTAATATATAATTTAACGGAGAACGGAGAACAAATCTTGAACTAATTTATAATATATAAAATATCTAAATATGATACATTTTTGCAGCTAAGCAACCACACCAGGTTATATAAAAAATATAAATATATGTTCTGTTACAGAGGGAAAGTTTAAGGAATCAATTCGGATTCAAAGTAAACTGATCATGTTATTTATTTATTTCATAATCCTACAGCTAACAAAAGTTATATATAATAACACACAATTACACTTAAAATATAGCCAAAGGTGGAGTACATAATGTTTACCTACAAAAAGGTTCAAACATTTACCAAAGAGAAAATAAACAATAAAAAATAATCAATAAATTTAACTAAGTAATACCTAACTTGGCTGTGTTGTGTGATGGTATGTACGTGAAGGTGTGTATGCGGGGTGTGCTCATGATGCAGGTAATTTTGCTCTATGGATATTCTTAATACTCCTATTAACCATATTCCGCGATAGCTTAAACTAGTCAAGTCGACAAGTTGAAAATGGAACAAAATAGAGATACTGCTCTTAAAATTATGTGCGATAGCTCATTCGAACCGGAATGACGCCTAGAAAAATGTGCTAAAAGCGTGTATTAGCACATAAAAAATTGCAAAAGTTATAGACCATTAAAGATGAAAAAAAATGGAATTTAGTTTTTGCCAATATTTAATAAACTATTAATATTTAAGAAATTTCAAATAAAGATTCTGAAAGAGGAGGAAATTTCCAATAAAAACTCTCAGCTCCCGGAACTCTATCTCCATTATTTATAACTTTAATTTAACGCTGAAAATAGGTCTGTGCGTGACATTTTTAGGATTCGCGCGTGGCGTCAAAAGCGACTACGGCAC